CTATTAACTTTGTTGGTGGAGCACGCTAAGCAACACTTAAAGGCAAAAGTCGGGCTCAATAAGGGGGTATTATGGCGATTGAAACTGAGTATAGAGATGCGAAGTGGAACGACAGTGGAGAAAAAACTGAGAAAAACCGTCGACAAGGCCGTTAACAAAACCCTCTTTCCCACTAGCAGTGAAGGAGGCTGTCTTGGGAAAGAGGCACGTACAAACAAGTTTTGGAAGATATCAGTCGTTCTATCGGTTGATACGGCAATCAACCTAGCTGATTTCACACGTTATGCCAGCCACGCACCACATCCCAAGGTGGGCGGTCGTAGCGGGGCCAGGCGGCGATAGCGCATAGTACATGCCCTGGGGCCTTATTACTGCGCCGTTTCGGGTTTTGAGTGTGGGAACATCTCTACGGGTGCGTAACCAAGTACAGGCATGACCGAAAGGGTTGGTTTGGTCAACTAATCCCGACCTTTGCCTTTAAAGGGAACCCCGTGAGGCTAGCAATGCATCTATGGTGAGTTTGCTCTGATCAATACATACATGAGCATTTTCCTTCATCGACAAAGAGCTGATGTGTTTTGATGTGAATCATCAACGGTATTTGTGAATTGTTTTTCTGAGTTCTTATGTAACATATATTATAGTATAAAGCACTTGTGAAAGTTGTCCCTGTCACCTCTAGGCAATGCCATTCCCTTCTTGTAAATGCGCTAATTTAGTATATTGACATTTTTTTGTGAATGCTACCAAATTAAAAAAAGGATAAAGCATTTGCCGTTGATCAATCCCTTTTTGGGATGCGGCACGCATTCTACTTCCATTTGTACATTCGTAGTGGCGTTTGAATGCGATGTGGCCTATACAATGACTTGCGGGGCCAGCCGATGTACAAGTCAGTGTTTTTATCCTCCCAGACAAGTCTGGTACCAATTAACCGACCCCGGAGGGATGGAAGGCTTGGTTGGCCCGGGCGACTCACGACCCAGGATTTGATCCCCGGACCGCTCGCGTGCCACTTGCACTACACCACTTCCGCCCCAATTAATAATGAGGTAGTCATTCGGAAAAAAAATGGACACACAATAATCAGTATATTGTGTGTTAGAGTTAGTTTAGAGTTAGTAGTTGTATTAAATATCCCTACTATGTAAATATTAGTTGTAGCGAGCTTCTTTTTATACGGTCTTCTATGAATCAATTAACTGATATGATAAGCCCGATTTGTACAGAGGTAAGCCAAACTACAAATGAATCCGACGTCTAGTTCGTTTCCTCGTGCCTTGGTCTCTGCTCTTGATTGCGACATTTTTCAATGCTTTCCTTGTTCTGAGTGTTTGAATCTTTGAAGGCTTCAAAATTTTAATGTTAAAAAAGAGTCCGAGAACAAAACACAGAATTTAAAAGCATTTTGTGTATTGTTTTTGGTAACAATCCTTTGAGGCTCCAAAAATTTATTGTCAAAAGCACAACACAAAAATACTTTTATGTTTTGGTTTTTGGCAATACATTTTCAGAGCTTCGAACGCTCAGATCAATTGCGGCTTCGGTTCACCACAATCATAACTTTTCTCTTGTTGTTTTATCCGTTGGTTTATTGATTGTTTTATTGATATTTTATCAAATCAGTAGCAATTTCAGATGCTAAACAAGTCATGCAATCCAGAAGATTACCTTCTCGTGACAAATCCCATATACCTCGTTAGCCAAAGCGTGCACATATTTATCAGTATTTCAGCCATTATCAGCGTTGCTATAATGAGTAATAGTTTTATGAAGATTCGCGTTCATAAAAATGTTAAGGTCAGTTTGTATAATCAACACTTTATTTTATTTTGTTTATTTATTGGTCAATCACATATAGGTAATGGCACAGCTGTAGTCACTTATTTCACAACCGATTGACTTCACTTCAAATAGTCTAGGGAAAAGAAAAAATCGCTGAGATGAAAACTTCATAAGACCCCAACAGAACGTGTAAGCGAGCTGATCGGAGAACAGTGCGTTATACATGGTTTTTTAACCAGTAGGCCGCATAAGTAAGCTCTCGAACGTGTACATCAGAACCACGAGCCACCGAGCCCTGAAAATAACCAACTGCCGAGGCCGCAGCACAACAGGGGCGGGTGCTATAGGCACCTCTTTGATCTAAACACGAACCCCAGAGAGCTGGCTCGTGGGCGCTTACGAAGGCTGTCTACGGGTGCGCCAAGCGTGGTTGACGTTAGCACAGTTAGACACTGTGGCGAAGAGTAACGGCCTATAAGCAGTAAAAACCAGTAGTACACACTGACTATTGGCAATAGGGCAAGAAAAGGATTCCGCTTTTGGCTGAAAGCGTTAGATCTCTTGAGGTTTTATGAAGTTTCATCATTCCTATTTGATTGCTATATGGGCAAACGACAACATCATCATCCATCACATCATTATTTGAGAAGGAGTTATGTCTTATATAGTACATGCTTTCCCTTGGGCTAATCCAGGAAAAACCTAACTCTTCACAACATGATCAAGATGAACATGATCGTCCGGCACTTCCATTAAAAGTGGAGTTCCTTGAAGCTGTTCAGAGCTTAAGTGAAAGGTAATGCTGACTGGAAAGCAGGGTTAAGTGGCTAAGAAAACTGAAATTAGAAGTATGAAAAAATAGATCAAATCCAGCAGTCTATAGGAAAAAAAAAAAATAAAAATAAAATGAGTGAAGAAAAGGAAGAGGAAGAAAATATAATTGAAAAATTAAAAAAAAAGAAAATATATAAGTGGGTAAATATATGAGGGCCAGTAAGAACTTTCAGGCAAGCTATGTTAGTTACAAGTATCGCGCATGTCTCGTGTAAAAGGAACGGCTATTCAGCTTTTGCACACCTACTGCCTGGAGCCAACCGCAAGCGCATACAGAGGCCGATATTCACATTAACTGGGCTGCAAGTTCGCACTGTTGCGCACTATCACGCCTACCGTTCAACGCTTGATTTGTGTCAGAATGCATAGGCTTTGGGCCGCATTAATAAAGAAAACCTCAAAAAAAATAAGAAGGCGAAGAAATGCTGCAATGATGTATAAAAGTTCTTGGGATGCGCCATGCATTCCAGTTCTATTTATTCAAAATCGCTGTGACCCAATGTGCAAACCATGGATTTTATCCTCCCAGACGAGTCTGCTACCAATTAAGTGACCCGAAGTGATTAAAAGCTTCGCCGCCCAAGTAGCGATCGGTCCTGAATTTGACTCCAGGGCAGTGCGCCTAGGAAGGTTTCCCTCTTCCCACAACAACCCCTCTATCACTTTTAATCGATCAAATTAAACTAATTCAAATGTGTATAAACAATGTGAGACTTCAAAATTTATTGCAAAAGACTCAAAACTTTCTACAAAAGAAATTGCAAAAATGTGTGTTTGCAAAAGTTTTGCAAAAGTTTAGGCCTTTTTGGCGAGCTTTCGGCGCTTAGCGCCTTTGTCGAGCCTGAAATGAAAATTAGAAGCTTTCTTAAAGTCTGTTAATATATTAAAATATATTAACTGACCCACCTGCTGTCCACTCTCAAAAGTGTAACACTTGGTCTGTGAAGCAGGAACTATTCCCTACCCTAGACTAGCGTTGACGTGCTACGACCGTTATTTCCCAAAATATCGCATTCATTCCACAGTGATGATAACTGCAGTCATGCGATGAGTTGAAGAGAGTCACGTAACTCGTCTCTGCTATTTATTTCCGGGGCTAGTCTTTTTATTTCCAGAGCCTCCAGTATTTTGCGTTCCACTGTGTTTTCAACGGAACGGTGTAGGACTTTTACGTTGAGGGTGGGTGGATCCCCATGGGCATGTTGTTGGGTTCTATGTTTGGAGAAGCTGTTACCTGGATATGAGGCCGGATTTTGTAGAGCCCTCCGATGTTCATCAAGTCGTTTGTGGAGAGGTCTTCTTGTTTCTCCAACATACTTATGCCCACATCCTTGGCATTCTATTGCATAAACTGTACCTCTTAGTTGGCATATTTTGTCGTCCTTACAGTAGATGCAACCATTCCTCCCACATTTGTCCTCGTAAGGCCTGGAGACTTCGAGACAGAACAATTCTAAATTAAATTGAGTTAAATTGTGCCCCACAGTTTGGCCTGCAGTGGCCCAAGGGAACGGTCCTGGACCAGGAGAAAGGACACCTCCGCAAAGGGCTAAGGGTGCAGGAGCTCCAGGGTGGATCACCTGTGCAGAAAAGTGGATGGGATGTGGGCAGGTAGTGTGGAATGTAGGACATCCACCGGTCCTTATCAAAAGTACGCTCGAAATGAGTCGTTCACTTATTATCTTATCCGTGTAAGAGAAACCCAAAGAAGTGATCTCTAGGGCGAAAGATGAAATAGCAAGGAGTAGCCGACCCTCCCCTTCCCCCTTCCCTCCCCCCAAATTGGATTTTAACTCCTTACTGTATCTCATTGTTTTCACTACAGCGCCCCGATCTCCTCATATTGTATCTCACACGCTTCATCTGTTCTGTCAGGGACCGGGACTAACACTGCTGATTTTCGAGTCTATGATTAGGTTTTTTAAAGCCTCAGGATTTACCTACTTCAGAATCCGGGCCCATCTCACTAGTTCGCTTTACCTGTTTACCGAAATCAGAGTATTAGATGTTGAGTCTTTGGGTTTCTTACAATTACAATTCCAAAAAGCCAGAGGTGTTGCCTTATCCTGGTATTAGGCAGACCCAGAAATCTGTGGCACTTCCGTGAATTCTGTGCCAGAATTTTAATTGTGTTGCCTTTCACGTAATACGTTTTTATAGCCTACGTCAACACACAAGATTCCGAATATGACCACTAGGCTGTGAAATGCATTACAATCGAATCATGCTCGCCCTTCTTGTTTTCTTTGAATTCAAATTCATTGAGAAAAGAATATACGATATGTTTTTCACGCTCCTTTTATGAGCTTTTACTAGCCATTAGCCCCAAGTCGGTCAAAGATTGAGAAAGCATTTGCTCCGTGATGCATATTCTTGTCTCGTTCACCGTAAGGTACCAGAAGGGGTAAATCGCTCAGCGAACCACGATTCTGAAACCGTACTTCAGGCACGCCATCAGTATCATATTTGGCCACTGCGCCTTCTCAATAAAGCCTACGCACAAGTCTCAACCTTTTCCATAGATACCACACTAACAAGAGAAGATTACCAGGTCGACAGTGGCCATTTTAACCGAGACATCAGCACTACTAAATAAACTTATGACGCTGCCCATCTCTGAATCAGAACACGCAAATTTTGGAAACGATCTGAGCGTCAGCTGAGAAGCGAGATAGTGTTTGCAGGCAGCGGCCGGGGTGTACGCGCATCGTAAGTCTTGACCGACTTCTCCCACGTGCTTTCACTTTTATTTCTTGGGAGCATTATCAAAAAAGGCTATTCCGTGCTATGCTCATCAGGCGATTGCCTACATTATAAAAACAAAGGGAAACGATGGCGGGGAGCTTCGAACGCTGAGCGCGATATGCAAAGGACTGCCCGTGGTACTCCTAGCGCACGCGTCGGACATTTTCGTGCTATGCAGAGGTGATATTCTTGCTGAACGCGTCAAACTATCCTTTTCGCACAACTTTCGATGTAAACCGAATATTCTGACTTAACGTGGACAAGGTTAGGAACTAATGTATGCCCATCAGCAAATTGTCAGAGTCTATTCATGGGATGAATTTAACTGTAATTTACACTTGTGAAAAGAAATATACTTGTCTGTTTTACTTGATTGCGTTATCCGAAGACTCACGTGATATCCAAGAATAAATTGATTCAAGGAATTAAGTAAGAGCATCAAGATGGATCATCGTAGGATCCTCAAAGCCTCGCATGAACGTTGGTAGTTGACGCATATTCGTGAAGACGTGAGGTCCTCCATCCTAAGTTAATGAAGTGTGACTTGGGGCTATTTAATTAAAACTTGCGTCAATGACGGCAAAGCGACGGAAAACATCACCGAAGCGCGGCATAGGAAGATTTTTTTGCCTCCCCCATATGTTTGGCGGTAGCACTACCTGCCACTGTCACGCGCGCGCCATTTTCGGACGGAATTCATACTAGTTCTCTAGTTTACAGTTGTTTCTAAAGGATTCTGGGAAATCAGAAGAGAGTTTAAATTTGATCTTTTGAAAAATTGAGCAATTGAAGGATGCGGGCTTGTCAAGTGCCATAATACCACAAAATGGGTCCCCGGAGGGTGAAGGTGATGTGGTTGTGAGCGGAATCGCTACTATGATACGGTGTTCATAGGTAATATCTCAATCTCGTCCAAATCAGCCAAGCTCTCTATTCCCGAGGTCAGTCAAATAGTAGCAGACTCTTCTGAGATATGAAGACATTGATGTCTACAGGGGGGGGTAAAAAAAAAGAGTCACTTTGCCTATGGCGCATATCATCAAACTTTTCGTCGCAAAGGATGCCGCTGTTATTGGGAGTTATACGGCGACACATTCCTTAGATGTCCTCCCATAAGCAGAATCAGGCCCACCTTCGCTGCGTTCACCGTCTCCAGAATATGACGTCATCTGTCATCACCGTCAAGCTCAAGGAGGCCCACCATAAATCGCTCCATTCTGAAGCTGCTACATAATTTCTTCAATCGGATAACTGGTGAATGGCTTCTTAGGGACACTAGCTCTGACTATGCAAATGGCTTTTGACCAGCGTTTCAGAGACGTCGTAATCGTCTATGGTTTCTCGACGACCTCGTTGAGCTCGTACCGCGAACCATGTTTCCGTGGGAAAATCTTCTGATGTCGTCGGTGTAGAAAGCCCTATGTAATTTTTTTGATAGAATAGAATGTGCTCTTCAATATGCAATTGAGCTCATTCGGTTTGGTTTTGGCAAAGTGTAATTAATTCTGTTTTGAATGTGAGTGAGAGTGACTCTTTTTTTTGCCCCCCCCTGTACATGAACCGACTTCTATTGTTTCTTGTGTAGGTTACACCGCCTTAAGTTGCCGCTACGATTCTCAATGTCAGCGTGGAGCGTGGCTCATCCCGCGAACCCGATCGATTGATCAACGCAGAAAGTTTCGCAAGAATATTCTCTTGTGAAACATCCGCTAGGCAAACTGCGTGCAAAAGTAGCAGTAACAAACGAAAACAAGCATAAAGCTTTATTTCAATGACGCCGGCCTTCACGTCAATTTTTTATATGAATTATTTAAATTCAGAAACTGATTCTCTGGTGATCATAACGATTCCAAATTTCTTTACATGTTCCATTCAGGTGATAATCATCACTATTGTTCTGTATAGTTTCTCCATGCGAACTGTATTTATCATATTCGAGGTAAGTTTTGGTAGCATTTCCTAATTTTGTTCTTTATTACTCGTGTAAAAGATTACTTAAATGAAAAAAGTCAGTGATTTCTCTCTGCTCCTTTTAAAAACGACACGTTTGTGCGTCATATGGCGCGATCCCCCATTGGCATCGCGCAAGGCCGTAAACGTCCACCTCCTACCGTGAACGGCCAACTCGTCCACGCGCCATATTTCTCTGCGCTCCTCTTGCTATGACATGAGACCAACACAGGCTATCCGCTTTTTTTAACCTCTGAGATTTAACGAAGTTTTTGAGAACCTAACTTTTTTAGGACCATATCATTAAAGCAAAGGTCGGGCTCAGGCACGCTAGAGAAGTAATTCCCGTGCCTGGAGGTTGTATGTGGGTAGCTGCACACATTGCAGCAACTTCCCACCTTGAAAAACCCCGTTAAGGCCCCGGGGCGTTTCCAGGGCCGCCTGGTCAATCCAGGACCGCCCACCTCCGGAAGTGGTGCGTGGCTGGCATAACGTGTGAAATCAGCTAGGTTGATTGCCGTATCAACCGATAGAACGACTGACATCTCCAGAAAACTTGTTTGTACGTGCCTCTTTCCCAAGCCAGCCTCCTTCACTGCTAGTGGGAAGAGGGTTTTGTTAACGGCCTTGTCGACGGTTTTTCTCAGTTTTTTCTCCACTGTCGTTCCACTTCGCATCTCTATACTCAGTTTCAATCGCCATAATACCCCCTTATTGAGCCCGACTTTTGCCTTTAACTTTTAACTGGCGTATCAATTGTCTAGTGCTTGCGTAATGAGGACGAGTTGATCTGCCACAACAGGATGTGGCAATTGCGCCTTGTGCGGTCAGATGCAGTGTGATCGCGCCATATGACCGCCTTCCCGGCACCGCACTCCATCATAATGATCACTGCCTTTAGCTCTCTAAAACTGACTTTTTGAAGGTAGAACACGTTTTGAAGACGTTCACAGTGCGATCGGCGTGTGACATATATCATACTGGTGTACTTTGTGCCTGCGTTCGGATGACTATTCATTTCTTCTCAGTATCATTAGTTATACTACAAGTTGGATTATGTATTGAACGCACCATTGCCACTGTTTGTTCGGGTCGATACGAAAAAACCGGGCCCATATTCGGTGTTGCATACTGTCTGCTGACCGTAAGTCCTGTTACAGATTCAATTTATCGTACAGTTTTGTGGTATTTTCTTGGAAATATGGGAATTCGTTACGTTCACCTCCTCAGATCTCTGATTCGACACCATTCCCACAATCCTAAGCTACCCCCTCCACCCTCCCTCCCCCCCCCCCACCAGTCGTAGGACCTGGCGCAATGGACGTCAATCCTGACTGGGAGGCATTAGGCCGATGTCAGACTTTGCGAATCGCGCGATTCGCTAGCGTCTGCGGTCGCGTCGCGGCCAGTGAATCACTCAATTGGCTGGTACCGCAACGCGACCGCGGACGCTAGCGAATCGCGCGATTCGCAAAGTCTGACATCGGCCTAGCGAGATTTGGTACTTACAGTGAATCCAGTTTGATTGTGTGGTACATTTTACCTGGTTCTCTTAGCATCTTATCTGGTTGGAAGAATTGATCAGGTAATTAGAAATTAATCGATTTGCACCCAATAAGTTTAATCGATAACCTTAGAACTTTCAAATCAATGATATCGTTGCTGAAATAACAAAACGTGGTAGGTGAAGGTAATCATAGAATCCGTCAAAACATTAAATAAAGTTGCATGGACCATGACCTTCTTCTGAATAAAGGATAAGTATAGATCATTCAGCGTTCACCAAGCCCTTCTGGATACGCCACATATACCACTTCCAATTAGACTCCGAAGTGGCAGTTGAATGGGATCAGACCTAGTGACCTACAAAATGAATTGCGTGGAATAGCCTGGACCTCGCAATCAAATAGCGATGGGGTATGAAACACTTGCTTGGTCTGGCCCAAATTCAATCTCGTACTTGATCACTGGACCGGGTTCTCACGCTAGTGGTCCCAGTTACCATTAGCTCCGCTCGTCTCTCATTCAGGTAACTCCTAGACACCTATCATTCACTACTCTCCTACTTCACTCCTTATGAAAATATCGGAAACTGTGAGGAAAAAGAGCTTCAGGCGGTGCAGGGAGCCTTATTTTCATCTTGGGTTGAGCTTATCAGGAAACATGGTGAACAGTGGTCAAGAAAGTCCGCGACCATGGCAGTGAGAATAGTGTCGAGAGCAGGGTGAATATCGGTCGAGGAGATCCTC